TATTCTTTTAGCCCACTATGTCGAAAAAAGAAAGTGGGGCACAGGGACGCAAAAGATGTGCACAATTTGCAGCTTCGATGTTGAAGTCAAGCAAATTGATGAGAGCTTTCCTTGTTGAACGTGATGACACCAGTAAGCCAGCATCTGTTCCTTTTGATGGCAGCAAAGAGGTCAAAGTAAAAGAAAACAAAGAAGAAACTGTTCTCTGTCCTGTTGAAAGCTACAATAATAATAAACAAGTGGATTCCACTTTTTCAGAAACAAATCCACAGAATAGTGTTGCTAAGCTAAAAGAGGATGACCTAATAAATATTTTAACACACAGGATATTGGATTTATGAAGTTTGATACAACAGGCTCAGCAGTTGTAACACATGCACGTCGCACAGAGATTTTTAAAGTTGGAGCACATGAATTTCAACATAAAGAAGGTCCATTTGATGCCAAAGATAGGCGTTCTATGACTGCATTTTGGTTCTGAATGAACAATCGTTCCTGGTTGGTGTATTCACCAATTGAAAAGTTAAATGCCCATAAAAATAGTGACAGCCATCGTGAGTCATTTGCTGCTTGGAAAGAAACTGAGCGCCAAATTCGTCTTCAAAGTGACATTGATGAAGAACTGTAAAGGCAAATTAAAAAATAAATTGAGAGATGTACTGTGATATTTGCTAAATTGTACACAATATTTAGCTTCTCAGAATCTTGCATTTCGTGGTCATACTGAAGACATAATCTCAAACGAAGACCCTGGATATTTCCTGTCACTTTTACAGTTATTAGCAAAGTATGATCCAGTAATGAGAGAGCATTTAGAGCGTGTTAAAAACAAGCAAACGTCAGCATCTTATCTTTCCCCTGAAATCCAAAATGAGTTTATAAATTTCATGGCTTCACATGAGCGAAATTATTGTTTGTCAGCAATTCGTAGAAACAAATACTATGGTATTCTGTTTGATTCCACACCTGATTTAGCCCATCGTGAGCAATTGGCCCAAGTGATTCGGTTTGTTGACATTGACTGTAAGACAAGAAAAGTAGAAGTCAATAAGTCATTTATTGACTTTATACAGATAAAGAAAAAAGATGTTGCCAATATTGAGAAAATAATAAGCACAAAATCAGAAGCAGATGGAAATTTATTCTGAACAAAAATCCAAAATCAGTGTTTATAAACTGTGACAACCATAGTTTGAACTTAACGTGTCTTCATGCTGTAAGTCAGGAAAAAACAGTTATTACCTTTTTTGGTATAATTGAAGCCATTTATAATTTCTTTGCTCATTCAACAACTCGATGAGACAAACTGCAG